GTGTGGAAGATTTGGAGGTGTGGAATATTAGGATGTGTGGAATACAAGGATGTGTGGAATATAAAGAAGTCTCTGCTATATGAAATGTACCAGGCCTCAAAAAGAATGGAGGCACAGTGTAAGGACGATAGTTAAAGGTTTTCCATTTATTACACTTCACTTATTATAAATGTTATACTATAATGTTAAATCTCATGCCTGGCAGGCTATAAAATAGAAATTCATTCTTCCCGATGGAATGATCAAGACTTTTTTAAAATCATTTCCACTAAGAAAGGGTGGGGGCATTACATCTTTTTAGGGGCTTAGGTGGGGTGTGGCAAAAAATTGGGAATTACTGGAACATTTGGAACCAGGCGTCTTTGCTACACAAAAAAAATATAAAAAATAAGAAAGGAACAAAATGATGGGCAAGAGCTTACCCTCCCCCCCAAAAAAAAAAAAAAAAAAAAGAAAAGAAAAAAATAGAGGGAAAAAACTTACCCCCCCCCCCCAAAAAAAAAAAAAAAAAAGCAGCGTGGGGACATTGATGGTACTAGGGGCGCTGTTGTGATGACCCCACCAATTGACACCCTCACAGGGGTGACACCAAATAACAGAGTTCATTTGAGTCGGTTTCATCAATATAAGAGCAGGGTCAACCAGAGCAGGATTGTGAATTTCTCCACTCCTCTCATTAAGCCTACTATTATTTATCATGATCTGTGGCTTCATCTGCCAGGAGCTTATATTAGATTTCCTTTGATAACGCATTTTGAAACGATAATTAAAGTGTTTTCTTAGTGAAAATATGATTTGTATATTTATAAAAAGATTTATGTGTGCTACAGAATTTTTGAAATAGTGGTGTACACAAATGTTCACAGTGTGCTTCAAATAAGTTAAGTAAAAAAAAAGTGCGATAATAGGTTAAGTAGTGAATTATAGGATTCGTACTAGCTAGATATATAGTTGTGTTGTATTTGTTTATCATTGCTGTCAATTTAATCAATTAAGTTTTTTATTAAGATTTAAAATTTACATTTATTGTTAATTAAAAATAATAAATAAAAAGAGAAATTAGGCATTAACACTTCACTTAGGGTAGACTTTGATTAGAATTAGCCGTCGACCTAACACTTAACTTACACTTACAGTACAGAAATTCACGGAAGATTTTGATGGGCTAAGACTAAATCTAATCAGTAGTCTTATCTATCAATTTATGTAATTTTTTAGGCCTAATACATAGTACAAAGATCTAAGTAAAAAATGTACAGTTCAGCTGTCCTAATTTCACAGGTCGCTATATTAGTTTATGCCATGCTAATGACACTTAACAATTTATCTGCCGTAAAGTTAAAGCCTAAAATAATTTTGTTTCGTCATAATCAGAATGAGATTTGAATCCACGCCTTTTTAAATGCATTTATAGTCTCTACAATTAGATCTTTAATTTTAAATAATTCCATTTTTATAATTTTTTTATTAGTGTTGAGGGAACCGTATGTCTAATATTACAATGTCTCACAATTTACGTGAAAAATAATTGCTAATGTTTTTTTTCTTCCATGTAGGTAGACCTCAAAGACAACGTCTTACTGTTGACTATGTACTGGATCACCTTGATGATTCTGAATTTGATTTGTTGGAGTCAGATGACTCGAGTGATGAAATGTACAGCCCTGATAATGAGGCGCATGGTGATGATGAACCGCATCAAAGTACTGTTTTCGATCATGTTGTCAGTGACGAAGATGACAATGCTGGTGTCGGCCCCTCAACGCTTGGAAAACTTCCTCCATAAAATGGCGCTCTCCAAGAGAACCATTTAATCCTAATGCCTTATGGAAAGATCAATTTGATCTTGGCATTGGATTTGCATCCCCTTGCCAATATTTTCTGGAATATTTCAAGGCTGAAACGTTTGAAAAATTTGTTTAGCAAACAAATATGTACCATCTTATGAAAACGGGAAAAATGTTAAATACTACTGCAGAAGAGTTGCAAAAATTCTTTTGCAATAACTATTATTATGGGAAACTTAAAATTTCCAAGAATTAGAATGTATTGGCAAAAAGCCACCAGAGTCAGTTCTGTTGCTGAAATCACGCCTGTCAATCGCTGTATGCTATTTCGAAGCAGCATACACATTTTTGCTGGAGAAAAACCTCAACCAAATGAGCAGCTAAATAAATTTTGGAAAATTCAACCGCTCGACGAGGCAATAAGAGCTCGTTGCTTACAGATGCCCAGAGAAGAATTTAATTCAGTCGACGAGCAGATGATTCCATTCACAGGCAAAGGGCCGGCAAAACAATTTATCAAAGGCAAACCAAATCCAGCAGGAGTGAAACATTTTGTTATCTGTGGCAAATCTGGACGAGCCATAGACTTTGAACTTTATCAAGGAGCAGGAACTGGAATTCCTGAAAATAAGAAACGTTTGGGACTTGGCGCTTCAGTTGTTCTCCGTCTAGCACAAAGCATCCCCCGGAACAAAAACTACAAACTTTGTTTTGACAATTATTTTACTGGACTTCCTCTCATTAAGGAATTACAATGTTCAGGGATTTATTCTTAAGGAGTTGTTAAATCCAACAGAATGATGGGATGTGTTCTGAAATCAGAAAAAGACCTGAAAAAAGATGGTCGTGGATCAACAGACTGTAAAGTTAGTGCAGAAGGGGATATTTGTATGGTCAGATGGAGGGACAATGAACCAGTTACAATAGCTTCCAGTTTTGTAGGTGTTGAAGACCTTGATAAAGTTCGACGCTGGAGTGTGAGCAGCAAAGAATTCATTTCAGTTGATAGACCAAAATGCATACAGGTCTATAATGACTTTATGGACGGAGTGGACAAAATGGACTTTCTAATTTCAAAGTATAGGATTAAAGCTAAGACAATGAAATGGCCAGTTCGAATGATATTTCATTTTGTAGACTTTGCCCTTTCAAATTCATGGTTAGAGTATCGTGACATTGAAATTCAAAATGGTACGCCTAAAAAAAATATTTTGGATCTTCTTGGTTTCAGGAGTGAGGTTGCGGGCATGTTGATGAAGGCATGCTCGGTCACACCACAGCTTTGCCGACCTGTTGGTAGAACCAGAGACATAGCAGTTATTGATGATTTAAATACTGTAATTCCTTCTCCAAAGCGAGCAAAGGCTGCAGAGAGACCAGTATCAGAGGTCCGATATGATCAGTTCGGTCATTTTCCAATCTGCATCAAAGAGTTAGGCCAAAGGTGCAACCAGAAGGATGTAAAGGTTGCAGTAGGTTCAAATGCACTAAGTGTAATCTATTTCTGTGCTGCAGTAGTGACAAAAACTGTTTTTTAAAGTTTCACAACAAATGAACATCCTCCATTCTCTACCCATATTTACATTTATTTGTCACATTTTGCTGTTATATTGATACAAATTTAAATATTATGTACAAATGCTTTAATAGTCATATATTTGGCTATTTAAATAATTAAAAATTGGCTTGTATTCAAAATTGACTTGGAATTATATTATTACTATGATGTTGTCATTATGTGTTATTATTTTATTTTACTCCATTGATACACAGTGTGTACATATGTACACATGCATTAATTTGCATAATTAATGAGCAATGGTCAAAACCTTAATATGGCCATATCAGGATGTCCCATATATCAGGTCCCAACCATTAAATAATTTTTTGTGATGAAATTATGAGTCCGTGTCCGAAGGGGTTAAAAACTGAAACTTATACAGAACTGTTAGCTCTCTACCATGGAACAATTCTGCCTTTCTGGTCTTGCGATTTGTCAACTGAAATTGATACGGTGGAACATGTTGATTTTTATGAAGTGCCTGACATGTTTCAACTTGAATGTTTGCATCTTTGAAAAAAACGGGAAAGGGAAATTTTAAGTGTTAAGTTTAATGTTGCAATTAAAAGTTATTTTGCTGAATTTGTATAAACTAGGAAACTTCTAATTGAAATAACTAAGATATTGGGAGAATCTAAAAATATAATAATGTTTAAAATATTACTAAAGGTTCAACACAATTTCTGTTCAGTTGCCTCAACAGGCTTAACGATGTAAATTATTAAAGTTTAGTGGTCACACTTTATTCTAAAATTGTTCATTATTGTAAAAGTAGGATTTGCTTGTTAATAGCTATATATATATATATAACTTTATATACATATAACTTAAGACGGACCCAACAAGTCAACAATGACGTAATTCTTTTGCAATGTTATCAACCAACATAAATGTCAGTAAAGGTATACATGTGGCAGCATATTCCCGGTTGCGCCAATAGGGGATGCGAGCATGAAAACCACACCGGGTGACACCCTCACAGGGCAGTGACACCAAATGGCAAATGCACATTTTACAGAGTTCAATCCAGACGTTTTCATAACAGAATTCAGTCAAATACATAAATAAGGTGTCACCAGATCTTGTAGTCAGCAGAACAGGATCCACATGAGCAAGGTGCCACCAAACACTGCTGTAACACTGGGTACCACCACCTCAGGTGGCCACCATCGCAGGTTGCCACCAGAACAGGGTTTCACCAGAACAGGGTGCCACCAGAACAGGGTGCCACCATAACAAGTGCCACCAGAACAGGGTGCCACCAGAACAGGGTGCCACCAGAACAGGGTGCCACCAGAACAGGATGCCACCAGAACAGGGGGCCACCAGAACAGGGGGCCACCAGAACAGGGTGCCACCAGAACAGGGTGCCATCAGAACAGGTTGCTACATCAGCAGGTTGTCATAAGACAGAGCAGAGTATCACCAGACAGAGCAGAGTGTCATCAGACAGAGTAGAGTGTCATCAGACAGAGTAGAGTGTCATCAGACAGAGTAGAGTGTCACCAGACAGAACAGAGTGTCACCAGACATAATATAGTGTCACCAGACAGAGCAGAGTATCACCGGACAGAGTAGAGGGTCATCAGACAGAGCAGAGTTTTCCCCAAACAGACCCCTTTATGTGATGAGTTACCTGAAAGTTAACTTCTAAATGAAATGCCAAGGCTGTGAAGGCTCCTGAAAGCACCAGAGACAATTGTTATTCTAAACGAAGCCAAAGCTTTGGCAATATTTGAAGTTTTGATATTGATAGCTGAGTGGTATTTTTCCTTTTATGAAACGTATTATTTATCGCATTCTCTATGTCTGTGGCTTCATGAGAGTAAAGCTTTTCAGAACTGAAACTTATAAATAACTATTTGCCAATAAAACATAGAACAGTCCAGGAATTCTGGTCTAGGGATTAGGTCATTGAAATTGATAAGGGGAATAGTATGGATTTTGTTGAAGTCGATTGGATCTTTCAAGCCCAGGAAAGGAAAGTTTTTGTTTCAATAATTTTTTTTTAAATCTTCTTGCATTTTTTAAAGCCGTTTTCTCAAATTATATGTTTTCTTTTGTCTTTTTTTGTTTTACGACTTAATTTAAAAACAACACTGAATGATTTTGTGTGATATGATTACGAATTACTTTGGTGCAGGTCCAGGGGCGTGGTGGGGTTCGTACAGAGCAGGAGTTGTGGGGGGCACCATGAGTGTACCGCACCAGGTGGCACCAACCCTACTATCGCCTCTGCTCATATCTATTTGTTTCCTTCATTTGAAGAAAGTCACGCATTTTTTTAGTGGACACTCCAGAGTTCACGGATATAGTATAAATTGGGGGAAAGAATTATGTGGACAAAAAGGATAAAGGGGTGACATTGCCTCTCCAAACTAAAATTGTAGACTATATTATAGACTGCTAAATAATTGTTACTTTCAGATAGCGAAGAGTTTTAACAATATCAACATCCCGAAATGGTTATCGGGAAGCAGAGACAAAATTCAATGGGTTTTTTTTTCCTCCAACAAATAGGCCTACTTAATTTGTAAAATTAAACAATAAAATTAAAACATTTAATGGCAATTCATTTCCAACAACGAAAGGGCGGAAAATATTGTATTTAGACAATTATTCTTTATATTGAATACATTAAAATATGTTTAGGATATCTAATAATTATAAATATTAAATTTATTTAATTAAATTGTATGATTCATATGGATTATGCTGAAAAGAGGTGTCTCACTGCCACGATTTTCAGTATTGTGCTTTACGGTAAGTAGACTTTCTGTCTCCTTGAATAGTTATTTATAATAACGTAAAGATATTAAAATGGATTTTGAATTTTTCATCTATAACAAAGCAGACAGAGATTTTTTCCTTTAAGTTTACAAAGTTTGACAGCCAGTTTGACAAAGATATGTACATGTTATAGTGTTCATTTTATTTTCGTCTATTGCTTTATAGTTTGTTCAGAAAGATCTCTATTTTGATTTTATCTCGGATTTTGGTGAAAGGTAAGCTTAACTTTTGTTTATGCAGTACCCTTTTACTTTCACTATCTACTAGTCTACTGCTAGCTATTTTGTCTGTTTTTTTAACAGAAAATGAGTTTGTTTGCACATATTAAAGGAAAAAAATAGGTCCATTATTCGTTTTCTTATAAAAAAAATAAATGTAGTTGACACTGAGCGTATTTTAATAAATAACGAAATAATATTTACAAATTTTTTGTTGTTTAATGGGTTGTTTTTTTTTTTAATTAGGGACTCAGCTGCGCAGTGCCATCGTGCAAATCATGTCACATTCACATATTTTTTTATTTGATCTTTATGTTATATTATAATTTATATATTCTTTGACTTTGTAACTGTTAATAAGTAGGCGGATGTTATCATTTTGTTTATATTGGGTGGGGATGGTAGAGAGCAATTTTTGGCAATCCTCCAAAGTCCAGTCCGAAATTATTTTGTATGAAAAAAATTGCAATGCACAGTGGCAGTGTGTACTGTAAACTGTGTGTGTATATTATTGTTTGAAAACAGCAGAAATGTTAGTCATAAATAGCATAGCTTTTGCAATAACTGTTACTTTACAAACCAGTCAGTAAATACTAAATATTTTAATTGGTGCATAGCATTTGTAAATAGCAGCACAAAATGTTCTGCTTGTGACTGTTGCCATTCCACCACTGAAAAGGCCCCCAAGTAGCTGGCAAACAGACCATGACTGGTACCACTCTGATAGCGGAGTTTATGTTTCGCATGCATCCAAAGTCCTTCAATAGTTTCTGTGGGAATGTCCTGGTCTACTGGATCAACAAATTCATGCGTGTGCACAATGACAGCGTAATCAATTTAATCATAAATCCCGTTGTTGAGCTGAACGACATTTTGATATCCTCTCCAAGCATCCGAGACGTTAGTTGTCCCTGGTAACATATGATTAGTGATAATGCGCTTGATTTTAACATAATTTGCCATAATTTAACAAATGTATGAAATATATTCGCAAACTTGAATTTTAAAACAAAATGATGCCTAAGACTTGTAAGTAAGGAGTAATCTCTGGAAATAATTTGGCACCTAACTTCGGAGGATTGCCCAATTTTTTTATATTATTAAGTAAGGTGGTTTTATATAGCCCAGTACCTCAGCTTATGGCTAAGGGTCACTGCGCTTCAAATAAAAATGAGCAATTACAGAATATTCTGCATTTAAAAACAATTGGTAGAAAGCTTGCCCTCCCCCACCCAGGTACTATCTACCCCTGTCTAGCCATGGACAGCAGCATTATCAGTTAGAGGTGGATGAGAATGAGTCGGTATAGTACAGTTTGAAGAGATGGATCTTGAAGGCAGTTTTGAAGTCTGGGATGGTCGTTTCATTGCGGATGTGTAAAGGGAGAGAATTCCATTGTTTTGGGGCACAGAAAGATCATTCGCCATATGTTTTAGTGGGTGTTCTGGGAACAGAAAGAATATGCATGTCTTTCTATTTGTTTTTTTTTATTATTAATTCTTATTTTTTTCAAAACTTTGACTATTCACATTTAGTATTTTTTGCTTATAATAATTAGCACATGAGCGTACATTGGCCGCAATGGGCTTGTTTGTGCTTGATTTTGGACTTTATTGGTGGCGGGGGATGCTAGCGATATTACATATTAGTGGGGTGGGCTGGTCAATGAAAATAAATATAAGGGGTGGGTCAAAAATATCATTCATGTTTCTGCGTTATATAATTATAATATGTCCACTTCAGTACTCGTTGACAATTCAAAATTCATAGTTCAGTGTCGACGTCACGTCGTTCACTCTCACTCAATTAAAATTTGTCACTTATACTACCGTTTAAATAAAGACAACAAATCGTTTATAATTTTTAAAATGTTACATTTAAGAAAGGTCCAACAGCCATCCCAAGCTTTGCTCCTAAGATTTAATAAGAAGGAAAAGATCAGTCATTCATCCAGACAAGTAAAACAGGTGACAAGATAAGCCAATTGGGATTTGAATAGCCAATTTAATAGAGTAAAGTTGGTCTAGCCTAGTGAAAATTATAAATAGGCCTCTTGGTATTGATCATTTTACACTCTGCTCTATAGGCTATCTAATTAAAATTTCTTCGTAATTTTGTTTGATAGGCTACGAGTGTAACCACAAACAACCACATGTTAAAAGAGGTAAGCTTATATATTTTAAATATGTTTGTTTTTATATAATTTTATTTAAATTTCAGGTTTAGCAGAACATTTAAAGTATCTTCTAAATATGCCTTTTGGACAAGTTGTTGTGGGACCTCCAGGGTCTGGAAAAACCACCTATTGTTTAGGTTGTATTTTTAATGTTCAAATTTATTATCTTTATAAAATGATATTTAAGATTAACTAAATTCAATGTACAATGTTAAAAAAATGTAGTGTGATACATGGGGGTCTTGCTGTGATCATAAAACACAGTGCTATTACTCCTTTCATCTCACCCCCACACTGCAACACCAAAAGTTAAACCTGAGTTAACAATGACATCCAACAAGATAAAAATGTTCTTCTAACTTTCTGTAAATGTAATAGACATTGAAACTTATTGAACAGATGTTTCTTGCGCAAATGTTAGGAAAATGGGATTGTAAAAACGTTTCATCATTAAACAAAGATCATTTAAAAAGTTTGCTTTGCAGTGTGACATTGAATTTAAAAAAAACAAAATTTTTCATGTAAATCCTGTATAAAATTTAATATCTAGCAATATTGGGGTGCAGCTGAAAATTTGACAAAACATGCATTTAAGTTAAGCACTTTATAAGAATCCCAATTAGTGCTCCCCACCCCCCTCAAGGCTTGCAACTACATATTTTTTTCACGCCCCTGAACTAAATTAATATTCTAATGTCCAACACAGCTTTTACATAAGTTTTATTTCACCAAATGTATCTGTAAAACAGTCATTCTCAACCTTTCTAAAGCCACGACCCTTTAACACAGTTCCTCAAGTTGTGGTGACCCCCAAACACAAATTTATTTCGTTGCTACTTCATAAATATGTCTTAGGCAACCCCTGTGTAAGGGTCTTTTGAAACCCTAAAGGGATCGCTACCCACAGGTGGAGAACCGCTGATCTAGGCTAACCATATAATACTTTAAAAAAACAATTCGATTTAAAAACTTTCAAATTTAAAAAAAAAGGATAATAGGCCTTTTCACTTATTTTACAGAAATCTAATCAATTTAAAAATCTGAACTTTATCAAATGTCTATTTATTTGCTGAAGTTGTATATGCACAATGCGTAACACAGTGGTCCTCAACCTTTCTAATCCCCCGACCCTTTAATACAGTTTGTCGTGTCTTGGCGACCCCCAGCCACACAATTATTTTCGTTGCTACTTCATAATTGTAAGTATATGTGTTTTCAGATGGTCTTAGGTGACCCACAGGTTGAGAACTGCTGCCATAAAACAAAAGATAATTTTAAGCACCAAGCGGATTTGCGATATTTTAAAGAATCTCATAAAGAACAATTGTCAGTAATTTTATTTTGTGAAATCCCTGGCATCTGGTAGCGTTAAAACTGATTTTTGGGGGTTGCGGGTAGGGCTGAAAATTTGATAGAATGGGTTCTCATCAGCAAAGAGTCTATGTGCCAAGTTTCAGCTCGATAAATTGACATGAAGTGGGTCAGTTAGCCTTCTGAATATTTTGCCACAAAGCCAACAAGAAACACAAACAAAAGTGAAGGTTTTAAAAAATAGTTTCCATTTGTAGTTTACTTCTTTACGTAATAGTATAATTTTACTTAAGATGAAGCATTTGTTCGCACAACTTTATTTCTTCTAGATAAAGACTGCCACTGACAATAGTAAGAGGAATCTAGATTTTACTCTACATGAATATTTTCAAACTATCATTTTATAGCTTTATCCTAACCCACACTGTTACGCACTGACTTGTATTGGGAGAAATTAATCTCCTATTTTAATTGGCTCGTTGTAAACAGTGCCTAACAAAGGACGATGCCATAAGAGTCAACAAAATTAAAGATACGACACCCAAAACAGTTGCCAGTTACAATTAATAAGATTTATTAAGTCTTATTATAATTACAAAAGAAAATAAAATATAATGACAATCTTCAACTTACAGTATGGTAGATCTTGTACCGGTACAAAGGTAACACAGTTCGTATAATGTGCCAATGAATAATGATTAAATGCCAAATAAACACATATAAGTATGAGCACACAAATACACAAAGAATAATACACAAGGAATAATACACGCCTCATAAAGTTAACAATATCTAACTGAATCTCCTTCCTTCCGAGCCTGTCAATCCCTTATATAGGTGGGTCTACAGATGCCTAAGCCCTGCCTTCGAGAAGCTACCCAGCATTTCTAGAACAATCACAATCATTCTACAAAATACTATTTAGAACAGATTAATTATTTTTAGTGGCTGTCGGCATCAACACGACAGATCAAAAGACTAAGCCACACCTATCTGTGAACACAGCGTCTCATGCTGGGTCAATCAGAGTGCACGCACGAGAAAAATTATGTAAACAAGCTCTTTATAACACACACATTATATTTAATTCTAAAGACTTCATCATGGCCATGTGCATCACATCCTCATTTGGATCCATAAAACTGCACTTGTATGATGCACAACCACAAATTGCTCTGGTTAATTCCATTAGCCAAATTTGAAGGACTTCAAAGAATCCCAATTAGTGCTCCCCACCCCCCTCAAGGCTTGCAACTACATATATAGCCATAGTATTAGCAACTTCTTTGTTAGTGTAACATTTTCAGATCTATTTAATATTATTAACATTATTTTGATTTCTCAACATTTCAGGGATGTCTCAGTTTTTGAAATCTTTGGGGAGAGACGTTGCTGTAATCAACATGGATCCAGCCAATGATTCTTTGCCATATCCTTGTGCTGTTGATATCTCTGAGCTCATATCTCTTGAGGATGTCATGACACACTTACGACTAGGTCCCAATGGTGGTCTGGTATATTGCATGGAATTCCTTGAGAAAAATTTTGACTGGCTAAAAGAAAAGTTGGACGCAATTAAAGACAAGTACCTCTTGTTTGACTTCCCTGGACAGGTACAAAATTTAGATCAAGAAACCCTGTTTATGTACAACCAACAAGTTTTATAGTGAGGGTTAAATTTGCCTTGCTTACTAAAATCAATTATTTTGTTCTGCACTTAGTTTCATGCTGTTCATGTTAACTCCACAGGTTGAACTTTATACACATCACAATTCCGTAAAAACTCTACTCGAACAACTCACTACATGGGACTTTCGTTTAACAGCTGTTCACTTAGTCGATTCCCATTACTGTACAGACCCTGGGAAGTTTGTAGCTGTTTTACTCACTTCCCTCAACACTATGTTACAGGTATTGTGTTTAAAAATAGTGTAATGTTAATTATTGTTTTGTCAACTTTAAATCCAAAAGTTTGTACCTTAGTGTCTTAATTCCTACCATAAACGCTTGAAACCAGATAAAACATCAATGTGCCCCCTCTGGAGACATCCAAATGAGACAGTAACACATCGCCTCTTCCACTGACCAGCACTTATGGGCTTATGCCTAAACTGCCTACAAAAAACACCAGACTACACCCAGGGCCGGCCTTAGGCCACTGCAAACTATGCGGCCACAGTGGGCCCCGCACTTTTTTTTCTGATACAAAATCTTAATTTTAACTTATTATCCTTATCCCTACCCAGACTGGGCCCAGCGCAATCCGTTTCGCATAAGGCCCCGCAATTGTTAGGGCCGGCCCTGACTACACCAACACCCTATATAGAAACAAAGAATAGCTGTGTTGAAGAAGGGCTAAATTCTTCACTATGGCTGCAGGCTGAAGGGCACTTGCCCAAATCGCCACTGGCTCTGAATGATGAGGATGATTTGTCTTAGTTTAAAAAAACACTTAAAGTGTTTGACATATAATTATTATGTATTACTTTTACTTTAGACAAACCATTTTAATTTATTTTATGAAATTAATTAGCAAAAATGAAAATTCTAATAAGACAGAAATAGATTTTATTAATGTAAATAACAATAGTTCTTTTATTGATCTTTTATTGAAGCAACTGTATCAAGTGTATTTCCTTTTATAGTTGAGCCTCCCCCATGTGAATGTGTTATCCAAAGTTGATTTGATAGAAAAGCAGGGCAGACTAGCTTTTAATCCTGACTTTTACACTGATGTCTTAGACCTAGGATATTTGCTAAATCTGCTGCAGGTAAGGTTATATTAGTTTAGCAATAAATGCAATGAGCCAGATTTGTTCATACCTTTCCATAATAAATTTTGTATTTGTTAGAGATGGAGCTTGCAGTTGCAGTAGAGTTAAAGTTCCTTGTAGAATTACATCAAATGTGACTAAGTTATTAATTCAAATACATTCATTGCTTACGGTTTTTTTTCCATTAAATCAACTCATAGTTATATTTATTATTTATTGTCACTGTATCTAATCTGGTTAAATATGATTCTTTACAGACAAAAATAGCATCGAATATTTGACATTGAAAATTTTTTTTTTAAATTTTTAAATTGACAGATTTTGATGTTAATTATAACTCATGTTTTTTTTTTCTTTGTTAGGATGATCCACTGTTACAGAAATACAAAAAGCTAAATGAAGCTTTGGTTGGGATTGTTGAGGACTATAGTCTTGTCAGTTTTATACCCTTGAGTGTAGAGGTAATTTTTTAGCCTTTGTCGAAATGTATATTTTCATTATTTATCAGTTAAAAAGTTGTTTGTTTATTTATTTATTAGAATGTACTTTTTTTCTATTTTTTTTTTTTTTTTTAATATTTAACACCAAATGAGAAAGAGTGAGCTGGGAAACAAATACTATGTTGGCAAATTTATTTCAGGACAAAGAAAGCATGCTAAGAGTTTTGAAATGTGTTGACAAGTGCAATGGCTATGTGTTTGGATCAATGGAGGACAGGAGTCTAGAATCACTGATGTCTTGTGCTGTTGGAGCTGAGTTTGAATATGAGAAAATCAAAGATGTTAGAGAAAAATACATGGAGATGGATGATGTGAGTGAAATTGGTTGAGTTTGGTGTTTTGATGTTTGTTTAATGTTCACAAATGATTTGGTGGAAATTTGTACGATTTTTAGTTGACATGTTATTAAAATGCTGATGCAGGATGTTGCCAAGTTTTAATTGTTACTGAAATGTTTGTATGTTTTCAAAGAATCATACATAATTTTGTTTATCTATATTTTGTCCTAATTGTTGTAGTAACTGAAAGCTGCTGTTATGTGTGATTATTTCCAATTATCTGAAAACAGTTTTGAATAACCCAAGAATCAATGTAACTTTGGGAGTGTAGAGTCTTGTGTTCACTTTGTGGGCAAGCATTCACAAATTATAGCAAGATAATTGGTTGTTACAAAGTTCAGCCAAACATATTTGAACATCTTATTACTTTGAGGTTGATATGGCTGCTACTTGTACTTTATGTACAGTGTTTATGGTATGGTTATTTTGTTTGACTTACGATTGACTCTCCTAAATCCTGGCTTGTATATATAGATGTAAATAGCAACTCTCAGTGTTTGGCCTATGATTGAGTCCATTGAATCCTCATATGTATACATTATATAGATGTAAATAGCAACATCACACCGTAATCACATTGGATCTACAGACTGCTGAAAATTTTTTTAAAATGTATTTTAAAATTGATTCCTTAACTTGTAAAACCTTGAAATTTTAATAAAATTGACTTATGAAATGTGTGGTATTGTTAACTTGAAATGTTTGCAGCCAAAAAGTGGGTTGGTTTATAAGAATTATTGTCCTAGCCATTAGCCTTCCATGTGAACTGACAGACAGAAAAAAAAAAAATCAATTTCTATTTTGCATCTGACAAGTGCACTACTGTCTATTAAATCAATTGGTTCTGTTTTCTATGAGCAAGAAGCCTTCATTGGCTTTTGAAGACATTCTGATGGATAAACTTATCTCAGTCAGTGTTGCGTACTGTTATCAATATAGAGAATTTAATCTCTTATTTAAGTACATGGCTCGTTGAAAAACGGTACACAACAAAAGACGATACCTAAAACTAAATACAATAACAAAGAAAACGATACCCAAACTAGGGCTAATTACAATTAATTATTTTATTAAGTTAATAATAAATTAAAACAATCAAAAATAAAATTTAATCTCTTGACTTACGGTATAATGATTGACTTGTACCTGTACAATGTTGTAAAAGGTACAATGATGAAAAAGGAATATACACACATACAGCAAATGTTAGTAAACATGGAACTACATGCCTCCAGTGATTATTTCAGAAATCCCCCCTCTCTCTCCTTCATATTGGGAAAGGGGGGGGGGGTGTTTGCAGTTCCAGTTGATTTATTGTTGGACTTATTTTTGCTCGGAGGGGGGGGGGCTCTTGGCTTTCCCCGGGGGATATTTCTGAAAGAAACCCTGCATGTCTCGTATAGCAAATCTCTAGTTAACACTAGGTGTCAAATAAAGAGAAGTCTGTGCTATGCAATTCAAAATGACACCCGAACTTAAGAGTTAAGCAATAGTAGAAAACTATATGCTACAGTTTTCTGACGCAGGTTCTTGTCTCAGTTAGTGGTTTGTCGTTCGTTTTGACTTCACATGCTTGTTGGTTTAGTGCCTAGTTCCCTTTTTTGTAATATTTTTTCTGTCATCCGTCCGTCACAATGTGACGATAATGTAGACTTCCCAGCAGTACGAAATCACAAGGCCTGAGATTTTACTTTAGGATAAACTGCTTCCCTAGACAGTAATTCGCCTGTCTCCGCGCACCTGGGTAACCCAAGGGAACATCATATTATTATATATGCATAACTCGTGTGCTTATTTTTATGTAATACCTCGGTACTTAAAGACTCCGTTGAAAATGATAAAGTGAATGAGGTCAATATGAAATTAGTGGGGTTTTTTCTAACTTTAGCTACAATGGATAGACACAATACGTGAATTTCACACTGTGTCAATCATACCTCTTGTGTCCCGTGGAAACTGCGTCATTGGCGTGAAGTAATTGTATCTCATGGCTTACCACTGTCTTACAGTTCATATATTACGTGAGTACACAAAAAGTAGAAATTCCACACTCCCTTCAGCCCTGTTTCAACTGTACCTTTTCTTGACACCCCTATGCTTACATACATACGAGCTTTTTTCACCCACCCACCCCTCTCAACAAATCAATTTATATATAGACCAATTATGACGTACACAACAAGTTTAAAAATTCACCGTAAACCAGTGTGTCCCAATTAGGGGCTGGGGCCAAGAGAAAATTTCAAGACCTAGTCAGTTATATAGCAAATCTATTTAGATTTGAACAGATTGCATGTGGTTGTAATGTTAAAATAGGATAATTATTTTTTAATTAACCACCGCTATTTTTTGGGGCACGTCAATAAAAAAAAAAAATCACGGATTGTTAGTTTTCATTCTACAATATTGAATTTTTAGGCCTTAAAAGGCAGCACAACTGCCATTCAATCTCCTTTTTTTTTTTTTAAAATGGGAAAAGAAAAGGGGGGGGGGGGAAATCAACCTATTTAATCGCTCAGGTTGGGTCTGGGTCAAAACCGGTTGGGAAATGGTGCCGTAAAACATGTTTAAAATGTTGTTGAGGTTTTTCTCCCCCTTTTCACCACTACAGCTGACTGGTTCAGCCGAACGAACAAATTACGTCACACGTATGAAGACATGCAGTAGACTAACATTGTCACTAAGTTCAATATTACAGTTGCGAATTATCTGTGAAAATACAAAGCAACATTATGTCGCATATTCCCATAAACGGCTTTGATATCTTAATCACCTTGGAAAATAATTAGAAATCATGGATTTCACAGACTTTTGGGTGACATTTGACCTTATTGGAGATATAAGTAGGTTATTTATATTAGAATCTCAGGACAATTTTGCAGAATGTGTCCATGAATGTACGTACACGTTCAGCCCCCCTCCCACAAGGGCATACGCAAAATGTCCCAAATGAACAACCCGTCCCCCATTACGTACGTAATTTAAGGGGTTACGGGAAATTTGATCGAAAGAAATTTCGTCGACGGTAAATTGATCGACGGTAATTTGATCGAACGGAAATATGGTCGAAACTTTCTTTCAGTTCACACGTTAAAATTCTCGTCAAATTTCTTTTTGAACGCACTGTACTACATGGTAAAACAAAATAATACGTTCACTGTGGGAACGACGTCACACCACTCAAATATGTCTTTACTTTATTGCGCTTACCTATTTTATCGGGAATGTTTCATTAAGATATTGCAATTAATTGAGGTTAGTGTATCAATGAAACCTTAGATGGATCTTTGTAAAATTCTCTATAGAGGCACATAATTATTTATTTAATAGCCATCAAAGCCCCAGGTAACAATGAACAGTTTTAAGCGACACGAGATATTGATCGGTTATTAAACGTGCCTTTGTTCAAGATAACAGTGAGCTGTTCTAATTGTAATTAACGTAGGCGTGGTGGGGTAGGCAACTCATTTTATGGGTTCTGGGAACTATGAACCTGGCTTCTGTTGGGAAAGGGGGGTGGGGACTATGAACCTGTTTTATGGGGGGGGGGGGGGGCGGGGGTTTAACAATTGGTTTT